TACCTTTATATATTATATTCCATTTCTGCCAATAGATCCTCCTGAAAGTTACACACCAGATCTTTCAAAATTCATCATATCTCTAATATTACTGATTCATCTGCCGGTAATCTTTCCAATCCTGTCTGTTTTTCTTTTGTGAAGTACCTGCTCTAACACTGGAATTTCCCTTTCACATGGCTTTCCCCTATACATGATAGAAAACTATTAAATTGAATAGTCATTTTAATAATAAAAACTGGGTATAAATATTGGTGGTCCTGATTTTGTGGCGTCGCCTAACCTACAGTGCAGGGAAGCTTGGCTGTATGGTTCCTGAGCTGATTGTTGCCCACAGTGGGAACCAGCAGGTAAAGACATGATCCAGGCATGTGATGACTAAGCTCTCACTAACTGACTATCAACTCATCAGACATGGGAAGTGAAAAGAAAGACCTCAACTAACCGTCACTATCAAACCTGCACGCAATTATTTAACCATGCAGAGTGTTAAGCGATGCTTTGGCTTGCATTAAAGTAAATAAATGATATGAATTATGAGTAGCAGTTACAGGTGCAATATGGTCTGTATATGCCGAAGGTGAGAGAAGGCATATAGTGTGAGACAATGAGGGAGTAACAGTTCTGAGTGATATCACAGCAAGGGTGCTCATGTTACATAGAAGATTAACATAAAAACCAACCGTTGCCAACTTATTATAATACTTGTGACCACCAAGTGGCCCAGTATGGTTTCTGCTGTACTTCAGCAGGGAACTGGACTACCTTTCTCACGAAACATGCAGCTTTCCAGCAGAGGTCCTCACTGTGACACTTTATCACAGCCTTAATGACAACTGGTTAAAAATGCTAATGTTTAATAGCTCTTTAACCAGTATCATAAAATGACCCAGTTCAGAAATACCCTTGTTTAGCTCCAAAACACAAGAAAACACTTAATAACATATCTGTAACTGACACAAGACTTTTACTTCCAGTAAAATCCAATACCAAGCAATCTGAAGGCAACATCAATTCAAAGTATTACACAATTACTAGTCTTTGTATTGGCAAAACCTAAAGGCCTGAAAATGATGTCAGGAATATACATGTATAACGATGTTAAGTGTGACGAGGATGAAGTCTGAAGTTAAGGTGGAATTCTGACTATATCTATCCATCTGTTTCTACAAGGGCTGGAATAATGCAATACATTAAAATAGTCCTGCAATGAATACCTTAAGATGTTGGATATTTATAGAGAAATGTTCTGAAGAGACTTAAGGTTTATTGGGTAAAAATATTAGAAAATCGGTACAATGTCCAATATAACACCACCATAAACTAAAGCCACAGAAATTATCACATGTAACGCTGAATCAACACCTCTGACAGTTTAACCTCAAAAAACCATACTTAACGTTGTTTTATCAACTTGATGCCTCAGACCTAATTTTATGAGACGTAATTAAAGTATACAGTCTCTCTGGTCTAACTGACCTTAAAAACAAGTCATGTCTCTATATAGCATCACATACAGTGCATTTCTGTGTCTTTGAATGATATATGATATGATATATAAACTCAGTAGCCACTTTATTAGAAAGACCTGTAAAATATAATTTAATAAAATAAATTAAGTAAATACGTTTTTCTTGACGCTGTCATAGAGGTGTTATTATTATATATGTCATAGCATTGAGGTCATAGTTAGTGGTTGTGTTTTAGAGGTGATTTTACATATTCTGCCCCCTTGTGTATGTAACTAGGGAGGTCCAAAAATAAGAAATACCTCCTTTACCTTATATTGAGAGGTATTTACTACAATGTCAGCAAAAATGGAACATTATAAACTTTGTAAAGGTAGAATTTGTGGCAGAGCTACACAGGTAGAGGTGTACCTAATAGTGGCCACTGAGTGCATTTGTTGCATAATAAATCCAAACAACACATAAAACATATAATATTTCCCTATTAATGATGCTTTATGGTCATTTCTGTATGTCATCTTCACATCAAATGTGCAAACCCAGTTTGTGGCAAAGTGAGAGGTCACTACTTCTGTACATTGGGTTTAAATAAGGTCAAACACAAAGAAAAACAAACATTTGAACAAAAGAAAATTGTTTATTTTGTTGTTTAAACATACGACATTGAGGTTTGCAGGACTCCAAACAATGAGGAAGTAAAGCCAACATCCACAAACCACGAGGGTTAAAAATGTTATAGCTATATAATAATAGCATATCTATTTTGTACTTTGAAGGGAACTTATAAGAATGTCCCTCAGGGGAACATTTTGATAAGCAAGCCTGCCGCTGTGAATAAACTGGAGTTCCCCTCGTGCAAATGTGTCATAAAAATACAGATAGGGTATGTAAGAAAGAAACTCTGAGACAGAGGGTGTGTATGGGAGAGAATGTGGACAATTTCAGCATGAGTGACTATCTGGCTGCTTCTCCAAACATTACACTTCCTTACACCCTTGTGGACATCTGCTTGCAGTCTGCACATGGAGATGTAGAGCCACAGTCTCTCGCATACACGCGCGCGCACACACACACACACACACACACAGTGGCCTTCCATCCAGAATAAAAATATCTGAATTATCTGATATATTACTCACAGGCTACAGGCTAAAAAATGTGTTTGTTGCTACATGTTACTATTGGTTACTCTGACAGTTGCATCACATTCAAGCTCTTTTCCAAGTGGGGGTGTATTATAGAACAATAAAAAGTGAATATTTCTTACCATTAATGTACTGCTTGGCTATTTTGACATGTCCAGCTAAAGCCTGGGCGTATTGTGTGATGCGTGCCACCCAGTCATTAATCAGACCCAATCAACTTCTCTCTGTACAGTCCTGCTTTAATAACTCTGTATTGGGTTGCCTTTAAAACATCCCAGGACGTAAGTCTCTCCTGCAAGATTTGGGTGTACAGAAAAGAGGCTCGCAGCTGAAAGGACAACACATGGAATAATAAATGGTGGGTGTGTAAAGCTTCAGCAAGCTAACATAGATCTGTATGCTTTATAAAACAGCTGAGTTCCAGGAACACACAGGAATCATTGCATAAGTCCCAGAGAAAGACCAACAACACAGTGATTAGGTTGATTTTACTGCTATTATTCACCATAGATGGAAAGTATCAGTGCATATTTATTTAAGCATTGCGCTTCTGGTTTGTAAGACTTCATACTTTTATTTGTATACATTATAGAGAAGAGTGTAATTTAAAACAACAACAACAACAGCTTTTACTCATTTTACCCATCAAAGTGTTCAGATAAAAGACAAAATATGATTTTATTAAGTAATCCTGAAGGAAATGTTTATGGCCATGACACTGATAGTACAATAAAAAGACCATACTTTGTATATATACACAATATAGGCCTACCATATATTTATATACTATAAATATCAACCATGTGTCACATCATTGGTTTGACAACATCTTGCCTGTCAAAGGCTGCAGTTGGAAAATTTGCTGGCGGGCAAACAGTGACATATTTATTTAATGTCTTTATAAATTACATTAAATAAACATACACAGGAAATATCATATACACACTAAAATAAAATAGAATAAAATAGGAGATTAAAAAAAGAAATAGGGGTGTAATGTACAAATGAGGGTGCAACATTTTATGGTTTCAGTTTTTCAGTTTACAAGCAGCATGTGTGTCATTATGTTATATATTATGTGAAATCCTCCGATCAGTAAGGGTTTATCTTATTTCATTAAAAGAAATTATGAGCATAGACATACACAGTTCGAAAAGAGAATGAAAAAAAAGAGAGAAGGAATAGAAACAATGGTGTGTGTGTGTGTGTGTGAGGTATGTATTTTGTCTGGATTTATGCATACAGTTTTTTATCATTTGTGTCTGTATAATGACATTTGATATTCACAAAACCCAGTGCCATTGACAACATGCAAATACTGCTCAATAATTTAACACTGTGAAATAGGATTGGAACAACAAGCCATTTTTCACAGCAGACATGCAGAGACATGTCATAGCAGGAAAAGCGCAGGTGTTACTGATAACATCAACAATGGCTCTGTTCTATCCAACATGTCCCAGTAAACATGACAGTGAGCCAGCACGCACAATACCAGGACCCTGAAGCAGCTAAATGGAATTAAACCGTCAATAATGTCATTGTTTGTACCTGTGCTTATCTTACTGTGATGAAATGATGATGATGTGTCTTAAAAAAGGTCTGTCCTCACAATGAGAACCTCTAACTTCCAAAACTTAAGCAGGAAACTGTATGCAAGTCTTCTCCATTGTGAGTAATTGATTTCATTTATTTTCTTTCTTAATGTGAAAATGCCTAAGAAGGATTTTAGTTTACATCGAGTAGATCAGGAATAAAGAATGAGATTTTCCTTTTGAGAATAAAGTCAAGAACATTTTGAGAGAAAAATGTGAAATATTATGAAAAAGTCTGAATTACAGGAAACTCTTACTAGCTGAATAAGCCATGTGGATGCCCTGAAGTTATTGTTTCATCAGTAAGAACCTAATTATTATAGATACTTCAGAATAGTGAAATTAAATGAGCAAAGAAATAGACTCAAACATGAGGGGACCTTTCTCGTGCAATAGCCTTCTATACATTCATTATCTAACATTTATTTTCGTTCTGTAATATTACAACTTATTATAAAAATATTACTTATTATAATTTAATTTTGGGGAAAACATTTAATTTGTAGCTATATGAAATCTCAGATCCCCCTCCCCCCCAGCAATACTACTATCTATGTAATATTGAGACCTGATAACAAAAATATTCTCAGATGGGGACAAAACCTTCATTATGGGATCCATCTGTTGTCTAAATGTTTCATGTTTTCAGTCAACAAGGCGCAGTTTTGAATGTTTTTTTATACGATTGCAACAGGTATTTATGAAGAGGGACTTTGAGGGGGGTGTTGTTGGTAAGTCTGGGATCATTCAGACCACTTGGGGGACTCGGGTATCCCAGTTCCAGATACAGGAGGAGGAGCTTCATTGGAGGAAGTAGCTCCACAGCTTGGATGTGTGTGTGTATGTGTGTATGTATGTGTGTATGTGTGTGTGTGTGTGGAGCAGTTACCTCCATAGTGAGAGTGTCGCTAACCACTGGATTGTTAAAAACGACAAGCGAAAAGATATCCTCGCGAGGAAACCACACGCGGACACGCTCTCGAGGAGTTTAGTGTTTGCCTCCCCGACCTCCCTCCCTCCCTCGGTACAGGTTGAAGCGGTGCCGGAGCCGGTCCAGAAGCGAGCATTATGCATTCAGACTGCAGGCTGCTATGGGCAGAGCGGTAATGGTGGGCAGGGGACCGACAGGGGCCGGGGTTCTCGTCCTGTCGATTCTCATCATTCTCACCACGGAAGGCTGTCGAGCGCAGAAAGGTTGGTGCCAACACAGCTGCGGTGACAACTGGAGGGGCCGAGTGGGACCGCGGCGACATGCGGCCATGCTGGTTTAAAGTGTGAACACGGGAGTTTTGGGTGTTTATAAGATAAGCCTTTAAGGCACGGTGCATTGTTATTGTCCGCGAAACTTAAACCTACCTTACATGGCCGTGTGTACGTGGAGTTCCGCTTGGTTTACGCAGCTTGCCGCCGCCCGTCATGGTGTGTGTGTGGACGGTTCAGTAAAACCAGGCAAACCGGTTCTTAAAAAAACAGAGATTATAAAAGAATAGCTGCTGCTTGGTGGATGAGTTGGTTGCTGAATTAACATGCGGCTTCAACTGGTTTGTTTAAAGTTAAAAGTTACGGTCTTTTACTCAATTGTGTTTCCCGATAAGCGAGCTACCTTTAAATGACCAGATTTTTAAATGGAGTCTGGGTTTAAGTTGTCTGTGTACGGGACAACAGCACACTTGGGAACTTGTGGCCTTGTTTCTTGTTCCAGGTAGCCCAGTTTCAAATTTACCGTGAACCCACTACTACAACCACGGCTAACTCAATATGTTTTAAATGATTTGGGATTACTTTACACCATATCGTACCTAAATAAGAATATTTGGTAGGTTTTGAGAGCTTACAGTCAACCTCAGGTGGTCAGACATTGGGGGTGGGGTAGCAGTGGGGGTATGAGTGTAAACACGTGGACACAGTTTGTCATAATTCTAAATTTCACAGGAGTTTTTCACGTGAATTATGTAGTGGTATTTCTCCTCTCAGTAGGTAGATCTGACGATGAAACCATGGGCTTGATATCTGATGGAATTACACTGTATTCTGGTTTGTTTTTGAGCATGAGGGGTAACTTCAGGAAGGTAATCTGAACTCCTCCTGAATGCCATGCAGTGGTTCAGCATTTGTGAGTCAGAGTGAGGAGAGCAGCTTTGTTTTTGTCCTGTTCATCTGGATAGTGTCCACTGAGAGGCTCTTACGTAACTCCAGAACATCCACTTAGCACCATGAAGCGTGACTGTTGAGTGTTATCTCAGAGCCATAAGTCCACCAATGCATCAACAGACACAATGTGTCTGCTTTCTGACAGCTCAGAAG